TAGCCCCGGAGTCCGTGTTGTGCGCTGAACACACTGCTGGGACTCCACCCACGTGAGCTCAAGCCATGGCTACTCCTGTTAGGTGGACGCTGGTGGGGGGCCCCCAAGAAGTCCAAGGATTGCAAACAGATGGACAGTGTCTAAGAGGGACAACTCACCATTATTGACTAAAACTGCATGATGGGCCCAGACACTGCTCTGCCCACCAACACCAACAAGTGCCCAGAGCCAGGAGGAGGGAGCAGGTGTCCCCCACGTCCCCTCCACGCTGACTCTGAGCAGGTCTCAGCCCCAGGAGGGTCTCCCTGTCTGAAGACCCAGCCCAGTGGTCCAGGCACCCCGCTGAGACCCTGTCCAGCTGGGGGACCACAGCACAGACCTCAGGGAGGGCAGAGTGGGTCTGCATCTGACAAAGACACGGTCCCAGCTCTTCCCACTTATGTGGGTGGTGAAGGCCAAAGACTGGAATTTGGGGTTCAAGGCCGGGCAGCCTTGTTTGGCTTCCTGTTCCTGCCAGTCACTTGAAGTCACTGTCTGAAGCTGGTATCTGAGTCGTGCAGTCCCTGGCATCACGAACTGCAATCTCATGGGTGCATTTGAATGTGGAGCCTCCAAAGACATTTTCCTTTTCTATGTTTTCCCTGATGAGATCTACCGGCCAGTTAATTCTGACTACCACTGGTTGACCAACCAGAGTAAGAACGTAGCCACACTCGCTAAAACAAAGAGTAATTCTCTCTTTATACAATACACCCCCTTCCAAAAAGAAAAAAACATCCATAATGGGGAAAAGAACATTTCCTTGTTAACCAAGGCACTGTCCTGTCTCTAAAATCGCTATCTGCGCTGCCAAGCAACGGTGTTCCCTCGCTGTCCAGGATGCTGCTAACACCAGACGGCAGGAGAGGCGTCACCGCGACTTGTGTCCTGTCCACCACAGGTGCAAAAGCAGGACGTGGTGAAATCTTTTTGCTCCAAACTGCTCCTCTCGGTGGGGGAGGGGAGGGAAGAAATCTCTGGAGAAAATTATTTGAGTTCTGGGTTTTTGTGATCTTTGGTTCACGGAGCCAAGGCAGTTCATCCTGCCCTCTGCCAAGCAGTGCCGAGGGGGCTCCTCTCTCGCCCTGGCCTTCCTCTTCCAATCGTGGAAGCCAAACTCTGGCCTTGCTTTGTACTTGAGATTTTCCATGCACTCAGGGCCTTGGGCATCTCAGATTCCTTTCAATATATTCAATGTCATGATTAGGATTGCTGTACACCTTCCGGACCCCCTCTTTTATTGTTCTCTGCTGCGAAGACTGAACTCCCCAATGCTATAAACTTCGGGGCTTGGCACCAGAAGGCACGCATGTCCGTGCTGTGTCCGATACACGCGCGAGACACAGACCTGCGGCTAAAATCATCTTCTCGCATGTAAACAGGTGCGCGTGTCCTCTGCGTTGGGAAGTTTCAGTGCACTGTGCTCGCACAGGTGAAGGAAGCTCTGATCCTCACAGGACGCCAGGAGCAGCACAAAGCTCTGTGTGCATTATTCCAGCCGAGCGCTCAGCGGCCCTGGGAACTGGCTGCGTCACTCTCACTCTGCGGGTGGGGACCCGGCACTGTCTCCCGGAGCCCCGCATCTGAGCAGCAGCTGAGCCTCCTACATCACCCGAATTCTGAAGTGCTGACAGGAGTTTGTGCTTATTTTTGTGAGCTCAGGGCCTCCCTGGCGGTCAGTGGCCCTTCATCCGCTGATACATTCAAGCGTCTCTTATGGAATCTCCTTTGTGGTTTTCAGAACACCTGCTTAGAACTACCGTGGGGATGTGACGTGTGCACTTTGGGGTTCAGAGGCAAAGCGTGTTTGCACAGCACCCCTGGGCAGTGATCTCTTGTGCAGGCCTCCTGGGATAAACACCAACTTTGAGGTCAGGAGCGCCCCCTTCTGGCCTCGTGTGCTACTGTAGGGCTGTCGGCCCAGTTCTCTGTAGGGGCAGGTCCTTCTTCACAGGGGAGATCCTGTGGGCAGCAGGTCACCATCTGAGGACTGAAGACACTTCAACGTGGAAACATGCTGGGGCTGCTGAGGAGCAGAACAGAGACAGCCCTTGGCCCACAGAGACAGCCTCCCGGGGCAATCACCAAGATGCTGGGCTGTTATCGGGGCTTGGATGTGGGGTGGGGTGTGGGTAGCAAGAGAAAGGCAGTTAGCACAGATGAGGTCCCCAGGACTGCGGGTCACGGGAGGGACGTTACTTCTCATGGGGCTGTGGGAGGCTGGCGGATAACTGGAAATACGTTGATCCAGCGCCGTGTTCATTGAACGCAGGACACAGGGGTAATGGGCCCTTCGGAATAGGATTGGACTTGAGCATGTGAACATACGTGTGTACAGAGAGAGGGAGAGGGCCTGGGAGAGTGAAGGGAACCACGTAAACTTCCCTATTGTCCCCGAAGCTCTCTGATGTTACACCTGCTCCCAGTGTGCCACCTATTAATGTTTGCTTGGTGCCTGTGATGACTTCATAAGTCAGATTAGAACCTAATAGGATTCCCTGTTCCCCACCTGTGTACATATTTTTCAACGGCCATGTGGATTGGTCTGCATTATCTTTCATTCCATTTAGAAGAGGCTGGGGACCTTTCTTATTTTCCAAAGGTAGACCAAATAATTCCAGTATTTTTCTTCTGGTCAAGACTAGTAAATCAGACTATTTATTTATCCATGGAGGTACATTGTCCTCTTAGACAGGGCAGGGCATCTCAGTGATGACTCTAGGGTAGGATTTCCAGGCGACAGGGTAATTACTGTCTTCCCAACGCACAAGTGCAGAAAGGAATGCGGACAGCTAAAATTCACAATAGACAAGCAAAATTTGGGGTGAGGGAGACAAGCTAATTAGAAACCTGCACCAGAGTAAAAGGCCATCTCACCTGGGTAAATGAATGTCAACTTCAAGTCAATATGAAGCAAATGCATCAGTATACTAATGGTCACCCTACAGTCAAAGCAGCCTCTCTGGAAGTGGCCCTACAGTTCCGGAATTCTCTCCCGCTGCATGGAGCTCAGCAGTGGGATTTGAAAGAAAGCATTTCTGTCAGTTGCTTTTCTGGACGCCGGGGAGAAGGAGCCTCTGTCATGAGTGGTTGTGGCCCACGGGCAGTCAATATCCTTTAGGTTAGCGAGGTCTCCATAAAGCCCGTTTGTGGGGACCCACTCCACAGAGTTTCTGATTCAGACGGTCTGGGGCTGAATCCACACATTTGTATTTCTAGCATGATCCCAGCTGGTGCAAGTGCTTCTGCTTCAAGGACCTGGCTTTGAGAACACCTGCTCTGGAGTGTGGGAAATGGCATTGCTCTTAGATGGCCCCCTGAAGCCACCAGTAAACCTCTCAGGTCCCCGACTCCTCAATGCCTGGAAGCTTGCTCATACTCTGCTTTGCTCACCCACCCTGTAGCCAGGCCCTCCACCTTCTTACCACGTGGAGATACTCTCATATTAAGCATCTCGCTGGCATTCGTGTTTTCTTTCCTGCATGACTAGAAGGTCCAGGGCCATGTTGGACTGCAGCGGGGAGTGCAGGCGTGCTGGGCGCGCTCCTGGGCTCAGGGGAGCATCCTGCGTGTCACCTGGGAACGACTCAAGCTCTGGGTTTCTCGTAGGTGCCAGTTTCCCTCTGATCCTTGTGAGCATTTCTCGATGGATAATGGCCCACATTTCTCTGCCTGTTTTCGTTTCGCTTCATTCTTTTCTCTCTGTTCCTTGGACCACACAGCAGTCTCTATCAATCTGCAGTCAACCTTCCCAGTTCTTTGTTTTACCACTGAATACCCACTATTGAGCCCCCCACCGTAAATTGCACATTTCGGCTCCAGACTTTCATATTTTTGTTCATAAGCTTCCTTCATTGACAATATCTATTTGATGAGCTATGGTCACCAGTTTCCTTATGTACTCATGGTTTTCCTTCATTCTTTTTCTTTCTTTGTTTTGTTTTGAGACAGAGTCTCACTCTGTTGCCCGGGCCAGAGTGCCATGGCGTCAGCCTAGCTCACAGCAACCTCCAACTCCCCAGCTCAAAGGATCCTCCTGCCTCAGCCTCCCGATAGCTGGAATACAGGCGTGTGCCACCATGCCCGGCTAATTTTTTCTATATAGTTTTAGTTGGCCAATTAATTTCTTTCTATGTTTAGTAGAGACGTGGTTTCGCTATTGCTCAGGATGGTTTTGAACTCCTGACCTTGAGCGATCCACCCCCCTCGGCCTCCCATAGTGCTAGCATTATAGGCATGAGCCACCATTCCCGGCCAGTTTTCCTTCATTCTTTGGTCAAATTTATCATGGAGGCTGCTTCTTTTGACTTGTTGGGGTTATTTATATTTGGATAGTAACCCTTGGTACATAGAGAGCTTGCAAATGTGTTCTCCCGTTGTCTAGGTTGCCTTTTCACTCGGGTGATTGTTTCCTTGCTGTGTGGAGCTTTATAGCTCGATGCAAGCCCACGTGTCCACCTTTGCTGCCGTAGCCTGTGTCTTTGGTGTCGTATCTGAGAAACAACTGCCTGACTAGTGCTCAGAAGCTTTGTCCCCACCCGTTCTTCCAGTTTTAATGGCATCGAGATTATGTTTGCGTCTTCAATTCATCCTTAGTTGATTTTATATATGGTATGAAGTAAAGTATCCAACATATGCATATATCCAATTAACAGGTTGCACGCTTTTCATGCATACAATTTGTAATTGTCACTCACGGCCGATTAAAGCTGGAAATAGTGAACATTCTGTTAACTCTCCCAGACCACTCTTCGCCTGGTATCCCACCGAGCTCGCTCAACCTGTACCCGGATGAGGCCACTGTCCTCTGCTCACTGAGCCCAGTGGGGGCTACTCACCCCATAACCTCAAAAACCTCCTACAGAAGGGTGAAAATGCCCCTGAATCCTCCAATGAATTGATGTTCCAGACCCCTGGGGTCCAACACTGGAACCAGGGTCTAGACCTCCAGGGAGTAACAGAGCCCAACTGCAGAATATAAGGTTATTCCTCCCTGAACTCTTAAAATAAAGCATTACTTCTATTCCTTTTGTAATATTAAAAGTAAACATTCCAGCAGATGGGAAGCAGGGAAATACAGCAGGGTCCTTATCTTCAACATCAGCCTGGACCCAGGACGCTCACTAAACACACAGACTCTCTGTGACGAAGCCGCGGGGACAGAGGAACATCAAAGGGAGCTTCAGGCCACGGGCAGCCCTCACCCTCCCAGGCAGATGCTCGCCGGCCCTCACTGCTGGCTGCTCTCGCGCCTGCGCCCTCAGCCCTATAAACACAGGCCGAGTCCTCGTCCCCACACTCGCCTCCTGCTCTCCCTGCTCCAGGCGACCCCAGCATGAGGACCCTCGCCCTCCTCGCTGCCCTCCTCCTGCTGGCCCTCCAGGCCCAGGCCGGGCCCCTGCAAGAGAGAGATGACGAGGCCCCAGCCCAGGAGCAGCCAGAGACAGAGGACCAGGACATGGCCATCTCCTTTGCAGGGGACGAGAGCTCAGGAGCCAGAGCTTCAGGTGAGAGACCCCAACACTGCAGAGCTGGGGCGACTAGAGAGGAAACCCAGATTCCTCTGGAGTCAGTCCCAGCCACGGCCTCTGTGTGTGTTCAGGTGATCACCTCCCCAGGCCTCAGTTTCCTCCTGTGTACACTGAAGAGAAAGAACCATATGATAGGAAGACACCTTTTTACTCTGAAGATGTTTGACTCTATGACAATTCTGTGAAATGCACTAATGTCATGATTTGTAGCAGCACAGTGGGGGGTCTCTCCTGCAATGTCCCCGCAGAGAGCCCAGTTGAAGAGAAACGTATCTTAACACTGTCTCTTAGAGGAGCTTTAGAAAGTGGAGACGGCGTCAGGGTGTGTTCAGACGTGAGTGTGACGGGGCAGGGGAGCAAAGTGGGGAGAAAATGGGAACGGCTCTCGAATCCTGCCGTGCCCAGCACAGCGCCTGTGTTTATTCCTGTCGACTGGGGATGGTCAGTTCTGCCTGGCGCGATGTCGCCAACAGGATGAACCCGACTATCCACCAAGGACCTGCCGGGGACTCCCTTTACCTCCCACCTCTGCACCAGCCCTAGTGCCCCATGCTCTCTCTGTGTCCCCAGGCTCAGCCAGGGCCTTGACCTGCGCCTGCAGAAGGACCCGGTGTCGTTCTTCCGAGCGTGTCTCTGGCACCTGCCTCTACCGTGGTGTCCCCTACCTGTTCTGCTGCCGCTGAGCCCCGGGAACAGAGGACAATGAGCTCATCATGTGCCCTGGGACCTAAAGAACATTTTGACTCCTCTTGTCCCTTGTCCCCCACTTCCTTTCCTCATCTCAAATAAAGTCTTCATAGCAGGTTCTCTGTGTCTGCACCTCTTTCATGATCAAAATGTGTCTTAGTTGAGACCCTTTGGCATGGAAGTACCGCAATCCTAGATTAAACTTTTTAAACAAAATGCGATTCTAAATCCTAGGAATATCAAGGATGAAAATGGCTTCCGACACAAATGCATAAGAAGGCGCCAATGACGTGGCTGCTCTCACCCTGAGCTTCCGTGTCCTCTCCCCGAGCCTCGCTGGGGTGGGACTCACTGGCGGGGACACTCCCACGCGTTACTCGAACAGTCACTGTCAGTGCCCAGTTCACGAAGTTACAGCGTCTTTGTGTCTAAGGAAAAGCCTCGACCCCCTTTGCGACAATGTTGGAGTTACATTGCACAGACCCAGCTCACACATCTGCCTTTTAAGACCTGGGGTTGCGCCAGCCCGATGACACTAGTTTAGTTAGGACTGGGGTGGGCTGTTCAGGAAGACGCAATGAGTAGACGACACTCAGGAGCACCACACGCACATGCACGCGCCACCGGTGTTTCCCGGCCGTAGCCAGTGACATCTGGGTAGAGATGAAGCTGTCTGCGCACACACACACACACACACACACACACACACACTCACACGCCACTGCGCCACTGCACATGCATGCTCTCCCGTTGCTTTACAACTGCGAAGGTGCTTACTCTGCCTGTCAAATGCAGCGTCAGGTGTGCACGTGGGGAGTGACGTGAAGGAAAGACTTCTCTGCGCACCTGGAGTCCTCGTTGGTGCCGCAGGTGCTGAGGACCCCGTCCCCTAAGCAGCGGGCACGTGGAGAAGTGAAGGGAGGACACCAGGGCTGGGGAAGGCGGCAGCAGGAGTGCCCTCTGAGATCCAGAGTGTGCCCGGGACAGCCGTGCCCGCCAGACACACCACACTCGGCGTCGGTGTCCTCTGAGCGCGTCTTCCCCTTCCTCTCCGAGAGGACACGCTCGCCGCCTAAACCCAGCGTCATCCTGGTGCCGTGTGATGTGACTCTTCCTCCTGTCCCTCCTCTTGTCCTTCCCCAGACACTCGCTGACCCGTGAACACTCCTCCAGCGTGTTCCGCAGACGCCCGATGAGGACCTGACCACAGACCCAGGGCAGGAGCCCACCCAGAGCCACCACGTTTACTCCGGATCTGTGTCTGGAAACAGACTCTCTCAGTTCGCGCCATGGCTACTATCAGCGTGACCACGGCGGTCACGGGTAGCATGACCCCAACGCACACAAGAGGGACGCAGAGACCAGGGTCACTAAGAGAGGGACAGTGTTTGAAGGAGGGTCATTCACCATTCTCAGTAAAAACAATCTGAAGGGCCCAGACACTGCTGTCACCACCAACACCACCAGCACATGCCCACACCCAGGAGAAGGGAGCAGCTGTCCTCTGCGTCCACTCCATGCTGGCTCTGAGAAGGTCCCAGCCCCAGACGGAGGGTCTGCCTGTGTGAATACACAGCCCAGGGGTCCAGGAACCCCACTGAGACCCCACACGGCTGGGGAACCACAACACACACCTCAGGGAGGACAGAGTGGGTCAGTGTCTGACAAACAAATGGTCCTAGTTCTTCCACCTTGAGTCCAGGTGAAGGTCAAGCACTGAGCTGTGGGGTGTGGAGGCCAGGCCGTCTTCTGCGGTGTCCTGCACCTGGCCCTGGCTTGAAGTCCTGACCTCCTTGAACTAACTCAAGCAAACAAATTCAGGGACTAAGTCAAGGACCTCAGGATGTCTGTATTGTTCCTAACTCTACATATTTTCCTCATTGCTCCTAACCGTGTCCTGGGCCTGACCCCATCCCTGGGCATCTGCACTTCAGCCAGAAATGCACCTGTCTCCCTCCCCAGCTCCTGGGGTCTCTGCTACAATGTCAGTTTGGCCCTGAGGTCTGTCCTGATTTCTCAATTGCAAATTACTACAAGTTCCCCCTGGAAACCTCAATCCTCTTCTTCCCTTTATTTTTAACTGTAGACTTTGAATCCATCTCACATTTTATACATCTGTCTATTTACTTTCTGTACCATTTTTCTGCCTACAGTAGGGGAGGAGTGGCGTGTTTCGCTCATCTTGGTGCTGAGATGACTGCATGACACATAATAGGTGATCAATGAATTAATTTGAATTAAATTAATTTCCAACATCATACAATATTAGAAAATTACATTATTTTTACTAACTGCTCCAAAGAAAGCTGAAATCTAAAAAGCTAAAGCAGTTTATATATCCAGTTCATGTGACTGCTACCTTTAATAAAACTAATTAAAATCACGTATACTGAACTATAGGAGAATATCATGGGTACAGTTGGCTTCATGAATTACTGGGACTTTAGAAAGAAGGAAGAGACCATCGTGGTCGGGTGTCAGGGAAATAGTTCTTGGTGACTCTCAGAATGAAAGGTACAAGACGTGAAAATGTGGGTAAAGTAAAACAAGGGGCAGAGTAGCATTTTAGGAAGAGAAAATGGTATCAGGACAGGAGAGATGCAGGGTCGCAACCTAATTCCACTCGATGTGAAGGAAATGAGGTTGCCAGACAGCGAGGTGGAATAGAGTTCTGGGCTAACCAGCTCAGGAGCATCTGTGAATTCAAGGGATGCGCAGATGTGGGATGGGACCCTGGTGTGGATGCAGGGGTCCTGGGGACTTCAGGCTCTGCTCTCGCTGCTCCATCTCAGTTGAGCAATGAGAGATTCAAACCCTAAGGACAGCGATGGTGGGGAGACGTGTGACGGTCTCCAAACGACCAACCTGCCCAGACTCAAACAAGACGGAACACTGGCTGTTGACCTGCGTGTGCCCTGGGTGCTGACTGCAGACCTACAAGTTGTCATCTGCCTTAAATAAGCAGCTCTCCTGGAAGGAGAATGAAATAAAGAATAAGTCAGACGTGGAGCCACCAGTTTGAAATACCATTTTCCAGGGGGAAGTACCCTGTCTCTGTGGAAATATAGGGGTCCAACCTCTGTGAGCCCAGATTAGCAAACATAGATGGGCTAATCCCACCGGTCAACCCCCACTTACACCCACCAGTGCCGACCCAGGGCAGGCCCAGTGCCCAGGCTCTCCTGCTGCCCATCCGGAGCGCTGCCTGTGCCTCTCTCCCGACTGCAGCGTCCTGGCCCCTAGTGCAACAGCCCCTAGTGCAATACACCATTCTTTGCCACTCCAGCAAAAAGTCTGCTGCAATTTTTCTATTAAAACAATGCACAGTGCATTGTTGTCGTTTTATATCTCTTTCTTTGTTTCATCTCCTGCTTATAATCTTACCAGAATGTAAGAGGCAATCAGGACCTAAGGTGAGGTCAGTGCACCAAGTGTGCTGAGGCACCTGGCCGTCGGTCCCTTTTCCCCACACATTGTCCCATTTACCCCACTGTGAAGAGGAGAAATGTGGTGGAGTCTGACACATTAATGCACAGGGGGCTGCCCAGCACTCTCCTCAAACACCCCAGGAGGACCACATGAGGTGCAGCCTGCACATCCCACACCCAGTGTTCATCCCACTCCTGCTGGACACAGAGTGTCCTTTAAGCCTGTCCAGAATTAGTCTGAGGACACAGAATTCGTCTGGGCACAACTTGTGGTGATATGTTAATAACAATCTCTCTGCCACATTGGCAACCTCCTGGATGTCCCCCATGAGACATTAGGTCTCAAGCAACAATCTCATGAGTCCTTGACCCCAATGGTCCTACACATACATTCACCATTGAGCTGTCTATTGGCCAAGAAAGGAGGTGTTTGTTCCTGCTAAAAGGGAACCACATGCTGCATGTGCACCATTAACTGAGTGAGAGTCCAACAGGTGTTATCCTGTGAACAGCAGAAAGGGAGGTGGTGGACACGTGCAGTGAGATATGTAGACCAGGCTTTCCAGGTGGCTTTTCACATTCCCTTGGTTCAGTTGATTCAGCCTCAGCCAACAGCTTAGGCATCCTGGGGTCCCTGCTTTAAGAGAAACCATAGTTTCTTCCTGCCTGGACTTGTCCAAGGCTGAGCAAATAGATAAGGGGTCCCTGTGTGGAGCCCTGTTTTACCCCGCTTACACGCTATATTTCTTTTCTTCTTTGGTGACATTGTTGTTTATAGTACTCAGTAGAACTGCACTCTAGCCAGGGATACACAGAGAGACCCTGCCTCAAAAAAAACCCCATAAAAACAAAAAAAAAAAAACCCACAACAGTATAAAAAGGAAGTAAAAAATAAAAAGTACCCAGTAGAAAATAACCCCAGCAAATTATGAAACTTCATCCCAATTGACCCTTAAATAGGGAACTCTTTTGTTCCTTCGTGGTGGTTGTTGCTACAAGAGACTTGGGACAGAGGACTGCTGTCTACTCTCTCCAGTCACCCTCCCAGTCCAAGGATCTGTAAGTAACAAGAAAACATAAACCTTCACATTGCGATTTCTTCATTGAAGCCATGCACGCAGTCTGCACCCTGACTGTGAGCCCACCCCAGAGGGACCCAGTAGTTGAATCCCCAGCTGGTTCACATCTGTCTGGGCTCCTGGTGTTGCCACCAGTTATGTTAATAGCGAAATTCAAAGACTTTTACTCAAACCCATAGGTCCTGTTTGACATGTGTAAGAAAAACTATAATAGCTTCTTATAACATTCTTTTATTTATATGTATAATAGATATGACATACCTACTAGATAAATGTATGTATAATGTAGATAGAAGTGTTTGTTCAGGCCATTGTCCCATTTTTTATTCAGATTACTTGTTTTTTGTTATTGAGTTGTTTGAGTCTCTTATGTATTCAGATTTTAACTCTTCACCCCATGCATGGTTTGCAAATATTTTCTCTTATATTCTAGATTGCCTTTCCACTCAATGGATTGTTTCCTTTGCTGTGCGTAGGTTTATTGTTTCATGCAATCCCACTTGACTATTTTTCCTTTTATTGCCTGTTCCTTTGGTGTCATATCCAGGATATAATTGCCCAAGTCTATGTCACAGGCTTTATGCCTGTATGTCCTTTTCAAGTAGTATGCTTTCAGGTCTTAGGTTTATCTATTTATCTATTATCGATCTATTCCTTTTGATTTTTGTATATTGTGTGAGATAAAGTTTCAAATTTGAAATACATCAAGTCATAAGGTAGTATATATTAGAGAAATACAATTTTTAATTGCCACTCTTATTTCCATAGAGCTGGAAATAATAAGCATAGTTGTAGCCTTAAATTACCTCCTGATGTATATCTCACAGAGCTGATTTCACCCAAAGCCTGATGAGGTCATTGTCCTCTGTACACTGGCCCAAGCTAGAGCCTCCCCTTCCTATAATTCACAAACCCCTTTCTGAGAATGAGAACACCCTTGAAGCTTGTAGTGAATTAACTCTTTACTCCATTGGAATTTAGTTCTGACACCAGGGTCTAGACCTACAGAAAGTAGCAGGATGTATCATCAGAAAATAAGAGGCTCTTTTCCTCTGGGGTTGTGGAATGAAAGCCCTGTGTGTTTTATGTTCTTGCAAATTAAAATGTAAATATTCAAACAGATGAGAAACACAAATACAGCAGGATCCTTATTACTACCACCAGCTCCAACCTAGTACAAAGTCTATAAGATGATTCATACCAGAGTGAAGGTGGGAGAACAGAGGCACATCTGAGGGACCTTGGGAGCACAGGCTTTCATACCCCCCCCCCATGTGCACTTTCTCTGACTGAGAGGGTTAGAGGAGGCTTGTTGGTCTCCGCCCCTCCTCCAACATCCCTGGAAACACAGCTGACTCCTCACTCCACACACTCGCCTCCTGCTCTCCCTGCTCCAGGTGACCCCAGCATGAGGACCCTCGCCCTCCTTGCTGCCCTTCTCCTGGTGACCCTCCACGCCCAGGCTGGACCCCTGCAAGGGAGAGATGAGGAGATGCCACCCCAAGAGCGGCCCGTGGCAGAGGACCAGGATGTGTCCATTTCCATCACATGGAATGAAAACTCCATTCCTCAAGCTCCAGGTGAGAGACACCAGCATGGCCGAGCTCCAAGGTCTAGAGCAGAGGGACAGGAGACAGGCTCTGGAATGAGCTCTGCAAGGGTCTGTGCCACTTAGGTGACTTTATGTAACACTAATGGGGGTTGAGTTTCTTATCTATACATTCAACAGACAAAACCCCCAAATTTAAGGGATCTTCATTCTCCGAAGTCTTTTGATTCCAAGATGGCCTGTGACAGGTGCTAGGTTAAAGATATAAAGAGACCTACTAACTAGTTCGTTATGAATTTAAAAGAGTAGATTTACTTACAGGGAGAAGATTTGCCTCTATCTGTAGAGGAGATTTTAGAAATTGTAGACTGAACTGGGGGTAGTCAGATGTATGGGTGATGTAGGCAAAAACACAGAAGAGTAGAGACAACTGAGAATGTGTGTGTAACCCTGCGTGTGCATTTATTCCTGTAGATTGAGGTTGTTCATACCCCAGATGGCATGTAGGCAGCATTACTCATAAGCCAGCATGTGACTTCTCCAGAATTCCTTTAAACATCCCTGCTGACCCCGGGACTCAATTTCTGATGCTCTCTCTGTGTCCATATTCCTAGCAAGGAGCATGCGCTGCTCTTGTAGAACTCTCTGCCGTGTCGGGGAACGTCTCACAGGGATCTGTCAGTTCGGTGGTGGTTCCTTATTGCGCTGCTGCCGCCGCCGCTGATTGTGGAGAATGGCGGAAAGGGGGCTCAAACTATGCCTGGAGAGCTAAACGATGCTGCTGTCACTCCTCTACCTTGTCCTCACTTTGCTTTCCGCATCCCAAATAAAGTCCTTGTTGCAAGATTTCTGTGTTTGCATAGCTGTAATTTTTGATGTGTGAGTGAGTCAGGATCCTTTAGAATGTAAGTACCAGATCCTTAAATCACACTTTTTGAACAAGATACGGCTTCAAATTCTAAGAATTTCAATGAGAAACTGTGGCTTCAGACACAAATTATGATACTTGATATAAGAACTCAAATGATGCTGCTGATCCTTGACCCACTGCTCTGTCTTTTCACTGTGACCTATTCAAAGTGGATTCGCGCCCAAAGGCACCTCCCATGTGTTAGTGCAACAGTCGTCATCAGACTAAAGTGCACACAGTCACAGCGTCACTAATTCTGAATAGATCCCACACCCTATTTCCCCAAGGGTTGGAGTTTTTTTGAAAATACCCCGATCACATATCTGCCTTTTACGGTCTGGGGAGGCATCACTCAGGTGGAGACACCTGTAATAAAGATTGTGACAGGTAATTAACAGATGCATGAGGAGTGGAACAGAAAGTAGAGGAGCCCCACCCGATAATATCTTCTTATATATGTTATCCAAACATGAGGATTTCATACACATGCTGTGTGTTTTCACACACTCAAAATGCGCACGCCCCATTAATGCCTATTCTCTGTCCTGTGCCCTCTCCTGGGTGCCTTAAAACTGCAGAGAAACCGATTCCTTCCGTAAAATACAGCTTCCAAGGGCAGCGGGATAAGCGAGGTGAGGGAGAGCATTTCTCCAGGAACCTGATCCCCTGTTGGTGCTGGCAGGTGCTGAGGCTCCATACCAATAGTGTGCACACTGTGAGTAAGAGCAGGCACGTGGGTCTGGGCAGAGCCGCAGGAGGCGCCCTCTCATGGTCCTCAGAGAGTGTGCTGGGACCCAGGCGTCTCTGTGCTCTGTCTGCCACTGCCACCCACGTATGCTCCATTTGGGTTGTTGCCCTACGAGCTTGTCTCTCCTCCCCGTGCGACAGCACACTCACCGCCAACTGGGTGTCTCTGTGGCCGTCTGAACCTAGGTGGCTGTGATCTCCCTAGTCTGCTCGGTTTTCTTGCTGGACATCAGGACCCTTGAGCATCGTCACATGTCTGTAAATGCTAGGTGGCCCTGACACGAAACCTGCAGAGCAGATCATGTGGAGTCCTCTAAATTCTCTGCATGCGGCTGGTCCCGTTTGCAGGTTCCACAACAATGTCCAGAAAAGAACACTTCTCTCACACTCTTGGCTACTTCAGGGCGGTGACTGATGGAATGCCCGATGAGTCCCGCATGACATGAGAACCACAGTTTGTAAGGAAAGGCAATGTTTCAGAGTCGGTTAATCATTTTCATTCTCACTCACACTATGAAGTCCCAGACTCTCTGTGACACCAACACCAACAGTAAATTCCCAGACCCAGGGAGAGGGAGCAGGTGTCCCACGTCCACCGTGAGGATTTGAGCAGGTCTCAGCCCACGTGTGAGGGTCTGCCTGTTGGTTCCAGGCACCCACTGGACCTGCCCAGCTGGGCACACAACACAGACCTGAAGGAGACTGAGTGTGGGTTGGGTCTGCAAGGAATGGTCTCAGCTCTTCACCTTGTAGGAAGGTGAAGGTCATGCCCTGTATAGGGCTGTGATGCCCAGGCTGGCTTCTCCGGGTGGTCCTGCAATGCATGAACCTGAAGTTCAAGGTCTTGAGACTCATTCTCCTTATTGTCTAAGTGAGTTCTGGCCAGGATGACCCTCTCAGGGCTCCTGTACTTCAGCCAGAGGACACTGTCTCCTTCCCTGTTCCTGGTCTCAGCTGAAATTACAGTTTGTCCTGAGGTCTTCCTGATTTTCAATGGTAAATTGCAACAAGTTCCCCTGTGAACCTCAAGGCCTTCTTCCTTTATTTTAACTGGAAGAATTGAACCCTATCACATTCTGTACATTTGACTACTTACTCGCATAATGTTTTTCTCCCTTCATAGGAGGGGAGCTGCATGATTTGCTCATCCTGGTACTGCGATGACTGCATGACACATAGTAGCTGATCAATATATTAATTCTGATGAAATTAATTATTTCCAACATTCTATAATATTGCAAAATTACATTACTTTTACTATACCCCACAGAAGAAAGTCAAAATGTAAAAATCTAAAGCAGTTTATATATCCAGTTCCTATGACTGCTGCCTTTAATAAAACTAATTAAAATCCCTAAGAGTCAAGTATAAGAGAATTCATGGATACAGTTTTCTTCATGAATTATTAGAACTTTAGAAAGAAGGAAGAGACCATCGTGGCTGGGATGTCAGGGAAATGGTCCTGGTGACTCTCAAAATGAAACATAGAGGATGTAAAAATGTGGATAAATTAAAAGAAGGGTGAGAGCATTAATTTAGCAAGAGAAAAGGGAATCAGGACAAGAGAGATGCAGGGTCAGGCCTAATTCCACTGGATTGGAGGAAATGAGGTTGCAAGAGAGCCAGATGGAATAGAGTTCCAGGCTGCCATGCTCAGGAGCATCTGTGAGTTCAAGGGAAGGGCAGGTGCGGGATGGGACACCTGTGTGGACTCTGTGTGGATGCAGGTGCCCTGGGGACATCAAGCTCCTCTGTCGTTGCTCCATCTCAGTTGAGCAATGAGAGATTCAAACCCTAAGGACAGTGATGGCGGGGAGATGTGTGAAGGTCTCAAAATGACCAGGACAATGTGCCCAAACTTAAGCAAAACGTAACACTAATTGTTGACATGACAGTGCCCTGGGTGCTGACTGCAGACCTACTTGATGTCATCTGCCTTAAATAAGCAGCTCTCCTGGAAGGAGAATGAAATAAAGACTAAGTCAAAGTGGAGCCACCAGTTTGAAATACCATTTTCCAGGGGGAAGTACGCTGTCTCTGTGGAAATATGGGGGCCCAACCTCCATCAGCCCAGATTAGCAAACACAGATGGGCTAATTCCACCTGCTAACCCCCGATAACGCCCTCCAGTGCCATCCCAGGGCTGGCCCAGTGCCCAGCCTCTCCTGCCGCCCGTCCAGAGCGCTGCCTCCGCCTCTCTCCCCACGGCAGCGTCTGGCCCCTAGTGCAACAGCCTTCAATAGACCATTCTTTGCCACTTGTACGAAGTTCCTGTTGCAATTTTTCTATTAAAATAATGCATATAGCATTGTCATTGTTATATCTCTTTTTTTGTTTCATCTTCTGCTTAGTGCCTTATCATAATGTAAGAGGCAATCAGCACCTAAGGTGAGGTCAGTGCACCAAGTGTGCTGAGGCACCTGGCCGTCGGTGCGGTCACAGGAGGGCGGCCCCAGCGCAGGTGGAGCAGGCGACTCTCAGGACCTGCACTGCATCTTCCTGTGGAGGGAGGAGGAATTGCATCTTGAGGTCGTGGTAGCAATGGAGTGAGAGATGAAGTGTCTCCCCCAGTCTCGAGCCTTGTCTAGGGCAGTAACTGCCACTTGAGTGGGGTCGGCTGCCACTCTGGGCAAGGAGAGTGGTCCTCCCATGTGACAGGACCAGCAATTTCACTGTCTGGTGACATGGGCAAAGGTCTCAGCCCACTATATGAACAAACTTGGGCTAATTGGAGGGAACTGGCCCCCAGGGGATGATATTTGGGTTCCAGTGCACTATTTATTAATATATCTCCCTTTTCCCCACACATAGTCCCATTTACCCCACTGTGAAGAGGAGAAATGTGGTGGAGTCTGACACATTAATGCACATGGGGCTGCCCAGCACTTCCCTCAAACACCACAAGAGGGACCACATGAGGTAGAGCCTGCACATTCCCCATGCCTGTTCATCCCACTCCTGCTGGACAGAGTGGCTCTTAAGCCTGCCCAGAATTAGTCTGAGGACAGTCTGGGCACAACTTGTGGTGACACGCTAATAACAATCTTTTGCTGCTTTGGCAACCTCCTGGATGTCCCCCCATGAGACATTAGGTCTCAGGCAACAATGTCATGAATCCTTGACCGCAATGGTCCTAGACAGTTCTTCAGCATTGAGCTATCTACTGGCCAAGTAAGGAGGTTTTGTTGTTCCCGCCAGGGAACCACATGCTGCACGTGCACCATTAACTCATGGAGAGTCCAACAGGTGTTACCCGTGAACAGCAGAAAGGGAGGTGGTGGACACGTGCAGTGAGATATGTAGACCAGGCTCTCCAGGTGGCTTTTCACATTCCCTTGGTCCAGGTGATTCAACCTCAGCCAACAGCCCAGGCATCCTGGAGTCCCTGCCTTAAGAGAAACCATAGTTTCTTCCTGCCTGGGCTTGGCCAAGGCAGAGCATGATGGATAAGGGGTCCCTGTGTGGAGCCCTGTTTTAACCTCAGTTTCACACTAAATACCTTTTTTGCTCTGGTCACAGAGTTGTGTATAGTACCCAGTAAAATTACCCTCCAGCCTGGAATACATAGAGAGACCCTGTCTCAAAAAAAGGAAACAAAAAAAAAAAAAAGGAAGAAAAAGTACCCAATAGAAAATAACCCCACCAAATTATGAAACCTCATACCAATGACTCTTAAATAGTGAAGTCTCCTGCTTGTGCATGGTGGCTGTTGCTACAAGACTCTTGGGACAGAGGACTGTTGTCTGCTCTCTCCAGTCACCCTCATAGCCGAAGGATCTGTAAGTAACAAGAAAACTTTAACCTCCACATTGCGATTTCCTCATTGAAGCCATGCCCATAGTCTGCACTCTGACTTTGAAGCTACCCCAAAGGGACCCAGTAGTTGAATCCCCAGCAGGTACATGTCTGTCTGGGCTCCTGGTGTTGCCACAATTTATGTTAATAACGAAACTCAAAGGCTTTTACTCAAACCCATGCGTCCTGTTTGACATGTCTAAGAAAAACTATAATAGCTTCTTACAGCATTCTTTTATTTATATGTATAATGGATATGACATACCTAATAGATAAATGTATATATAATGTTAATAGAAGTGTTTGTTCAGGCCATTGGCCCATTTTTGATTCAGATTACTTGTTTTTTGTTATTGAGTTGTTTGAGTCTCTTATGTATTCAGATATTAACTCTTCACCTCATGCATGGTTTGCAAATATTTTCTCTTATTTTCTAGGTTGCCTTTCCACTCAGTGGATTGCTTCCCTTGCTGTGTGAAGCTTTATTGTTTCATGCAATCCTACTTGTCTATTTTTCCTTTTATTGCCTATTCTTTTGGTGTCATATCCAGGAAATAATTGCCCAAGTCAATGTCACAGGCTTTATGCCTATATGTTCTTTTCAAGTGCTATGGTTTCAGGTCTTAGGTTTACATACTCAGTCTCTTCTGAGTTGATTTTTGTATACGATGTGAGATAAAGTTTACATTTGAAATACATCAAATCACAAGGTAGTCTATATTATATAAATGCAATTTTCAATTGCCACTCATACCTCAATAGAGCTGGAAATAATAAGCATATTTTTATCCTTAAATTACCTTTTTATGTATATCTCACAGTGCTGACTTCACCCAAAACCTGATGAGGTCACTGTTCTCTGTACACTGGCCCAAGCTAGAGCCTCCCCTTTTTATAATTCACAATCCCTTTCTGACAGTGATAACACCCCTGAGTCTTGTAGTGAATTAACTGTTTACTCCATTGGAATTCAGGTCTGACACCAGGGTCTAGACCTCCAGAGAGTAGCAGGCCCTATTGTCAGAAAAGAAGAGGTTTTTCTTCCTTGCAGTTTTGGTATGAAAGCCCTGTTTGTTTTATGATCATGGACATTAAAATGTAAATATTGAAACAGATGAGAAACAAAAAAATATAGTGGGGTCCTTATTAACACCATCACCTCCAATGTAATACAACACTATAGTATATATTCATATCAGAGTGAAGCTGGGAGAACAGAGGAACATCTGAAGGACCTTTGGGGCACAAATTTTGCTCACCCCCCAGTGACATGCACACCTTCTCTGACTCAGCATGTAAGAGGAGGCTTGTTGGTTTCTACATCTCTTCCTGCAGACCTGGAAACACAGCTGACTCCTCACTGCACACACTCACCTCCTGCTCTCCCTGCTCCAGGTGACCCCAGCATGAGGACCCTCGCCTTCCTAGCTGCCCTCCTCCTGGTAACCCAGGCCCAGGCTGGGCCCCTGCAAGGGAGAGATGAGGAGATGCCACCCCAGGAGTGGCCCATGGCAGAGGACCGGGACGTGTCCATTTCCATCACATGGAATGAAAACTCCATTCCTCAAGCTCCAGGTGAGAGACACCAGCATGGCAGAGCTCCTAGGTCTAGAGCAGAGGGACAGGAGACAGGCTCTGGAACGAGCTCTGCAAGGTCTATGACACTTAGGCGACTTTATTTAACATGGACGGGCATTGAGTTTCTTATCTATACATTCAACACACAGACCCAAATAAATGTAAGGGATCTTTTCTCTCCGAAGTCTTTTGATTCCAAGATGGCCTGTGACATGTACTGGGTTAAAGATATAGAGAAAGCTATTGACTAGTTCTTTATGGATTTAAAGGAGTAGATTTACTTACAGGGACAAGATTTGACTCTATGTATAGAGGATCTCATAGAAATTGTAGGCTGGCCTGGGGTGTGGTCAGATGCGTGTGATGTGGACAGAAACACAGAAGAGTAAGGACTACTGAGAATGTGTGTGTACCCCTGCGTGTGACCCGCGCTGCTGTGTGTATTTATTCCTATAGATTGAGGCTGTTCATACCCCAGCTATCATGTAGCCAGCATTGCACATTAGCCAGCATGTGACTTCTCCAGAATTCCCTTAATCATCTCTGCTCACACCAGGACTCAATTCCTGATGCTCTCTCTGTGTCCACATTCACAGCGGGGGACAGGCAGTGCTCTTGCAGAACATTCTGCCGTCGTGGTGAACGTGTCCGAGGGATCTGTAATGACTTTGGTCGTGTCCAGGTCAGTTGCTGCTCTCGCCGCCGCCCCTGACTGCGGAGAATAGCGGAAAAGGGGCTCATACTGTGCTTGGAGAGCCCAACAACACTGCTGTCACTCCTCTACCTTGTCCTCAATTTGCTTTCCCCATCACAAATAAAGTGCTTGTTGCAAGATTCCTGTGTTTGCATGGCTGTGATGTTTGATATGTGTGTGAGTCAGGACACCTTGGAATGCAAGTACCAGAAACTTAAATCACACTTTTTGAGCAAAAAAAAATTGTTTTAATTTCTAAGAATTTCAGTGAGAAACTGTGGCTTGAACATAGGTTGATATGAAAGCTGATGTGATGCTGCTGACCCCTGACCTACTTCTCTGTCTTCTCTCTGTGACCCAGTTAGAGTGGATTCACTCCCAAAGAGACCTCTCAGACATTAGACAAACAATCCTCATCAGACTACAGTACACACAGTGGCAGCATCACTTATTCCGAGGAGATGCCGCACCCTGTTTCCCCAAGGGTTGGAGTTTCAGTGGTAAGATCCTGATCACATATTTCCCTTTGGAGGTCTGGGATTACATCAACTCCATGAAAACACCTGTGATAAAGATTGTAACAGGCAATTAACAAATACATGAGGAGTGCAACAGAAAGGATAGGAGCTCCACCCGACACCATCTCCATATCAATGTCATCCAGCCACGTCTATAAACATCAGGATTTCATATACATGAAGTGGGTTTTCACACACTCAAAATGCACATGCCCCCTTCGTGAACTCTCTGTCGCATGGACTCTCCTGGGTGCCTTAAAACTGCAGAGAAACCGATTCCTTCCATAAAATACAGCTTCCAAGGGCAGCGGGATAAGCGAGGTGAGGGAGAGCATTTCTCCAGGAACCTGAGTCCCTGTTGGTGCTGCAGGTGCTGAGGCTCCGATACCCAAATAGTTGTGCACACCTGTGAGTAAGAGGCAGGAACGTGGGTCTGGAGCAGAGCCAGCAGGAGGCGCCCTCTCAGGTCCTCAGAGAGTGTGCTGGGACACCCGGAGGTCCCTCTGCTGCTCTGTCTGCCACTGCCCACCCCAACGTACGCTCCACATTTGGGGTTTGTGTCCCTACGAGCTTGTCCTCCTCCTCCCGTGCAGCACGACACACTCACTGCTCAAACCTGGTGTCTCTGTGGGCCAGTCTGACACGTAGGTGGGCTGTGACTCTTCCTCCTGTCTGCTGTGTTTTTCTCTGCTGGAAACACTCAGGGACCCTTGAGCACTCGTCCAACATGTCCTGTAAATGGCCTAGGTGGCCCTGACCACGAAACCTGCAGAGCAGATCCATGTGAGCCTCTAAATCTCCTCTGCATGTGCTGGTCCCAGTTTGCGGTTCCACAACACATGTCCAGAAAAAGAACATGTCTCCTCACATCTTGGCTACTCAGGGCGGTGACTGATGGAATGCCCGACAGAGTCCCAGCATGACAGAGAAACCACAGTTTGTAAGGAAAGGGACAATGTTTCAAGTCGGGTTAATCATCATTCTCACCTCAAACACTATGAAGGTCCCAGACTCTCCTGTGACCACCAACACCAACAGTAAATTCCCAGACCCAGGGGAAGGGGGCAGGTGTCCCCCACGTCCACCCCGTGAGGATTCTGAGCAGGTCTCAGCCCCAGATGGAGGGTCTGCCTGTGTGGTCCAGGCACCCCACTGAGACCCTGCCCAGCTGGGCAAACACAACACAGACCTGAAGGAGGACTGAGTGGGTCTGTGTCTGACAAGGAAATGGTCTCAGCTCTTCCACCTTGTAGAGAAGGTGAAGGTCATGCCCTGAGATAGGGCTGTGATGCCCAGGCAGCCTTCTCGGTGTCCTGCAACTGCCATTGACCTGAAGTTCCAAGGTCCTTGAACTCATTCTCCTTATTGTTCCTAAGTGGTTCCTGGGCCAGGATGACCCCATCTCAGGGCACCTGTACTTCAGCCAGAAGGACACCTGTCTCCCTCCCCTGTTCCTGGGGTCTCAGCTGAAATTACAGTTTGTCCCTGAGGTCTTTCCTGACTTCTCAATGGTAAATTGCAACAAGTTCCCCTGTGAACCTCAAGGCCCTTCTTCCCTTTATTTTTAACTGCAGAAGTTGAACCCATATCACATTCTGTACATTTGACTACTTACTCGCACTAATGTTTTTCTCCCTTCATAGGAGGGGAGCTGCATGATTTGCTCATCCTGGTACTGCGATGACTGCATGACACATAGTAGCTGATCAATATATTAATTCTGATGAAATTAATTATTTCCAACATCATATATTAGATAATTACATTATTTTGACTAAACTGCTCCGAAGAAAGCTGAAATCTAAAAACCTAAAGTAGTTTATATATACAGTTTTTGTGACTACTCCCTTTAATAAAACTAACTAAAATCACTTATACTGAAATATAGGAGAAAATCATGGGTACAGTCGGCTTCATGAATTACTAGGACTTTAGAAAGAAGGAAGAGGACATCATGGTTGGGTGTCAGGGAAATAGTTCTTGGTGACTCTCAGAATGAATCACACAGAATGTGAAAATGTGGGTAAAGTAAAAGAAGTGGCAGAGCAGCAATTTAGGAAGAGAAAACGGTATCAGGACAAGAGAGATGCAGGGTCAGGCCTAATTCCACTGGATTGGAGGAAATGAGGTTGCCAGAGAGCCAGATGGAATAGAGTTCCAGGCTGCCATGCTCAGGAGCATCTGTGAGTCCAAGGGACGCGCAGGTGTGGGATGGGACCCGCTAGTTGACTGTGTGGATACCGGTGCACTGGGGGCATCAAGCTGCGCTGTGCTGCTCCATCTCAGTTGAGCAATGAGAGATTCAAACCCTAAGGATAGTGATGTTGGGGAGATGTGTGACGGTCTCCAAATGACAAGGACAACCTGCCCAAACTCCAGTAAGATGACACACTGTTGACCTGCGTGTGCCCTGGGTGCTGACTGCAGACCTACAAGTTGTCATCTGCCTTAAATAGGCAGCTCTCTTGGAAGGAGAATGAAATAAAGAATAAGTCAGATGTCGAGCCACCAGTTTGAAATATCATTTTCCAGGGGGAAGTACCCTGTCTCTGTGGAAATATAGGGGCCCAACTTCCATGAGCCCAGATTAGCCAACACAGATGGGCTAATCCCACCGGCCAACCCCCCACTTACACTCACCAGTGCCGTCCCAGGGCTGGCCCAGTGCCCAGCCTCTCCTGCCGCCCGTCCAGAGCGCTGCCTCCGCCTCTCTCCCGACTGCAGCGACCTGGCCCCTAGTGCAACCGGCTTCAACACACCATTCTTTCTCATTTCTACAAAGCCTGTGGTGCCATTTTTCTTTTAAAATACAGGGCATTGGCTTCTTGGAGTTGCTATTTTCTGTTTCTTTATTTTATATTCTAAACACTGCTGACAACCTGACCAGAATGTAAGGATGAGAAAAGTTCGTGCTCTCTTTTTTCCACTCAGTATGTTCTCCCTTTCCTTCTCAGAGCCCCATGCCTCGCCGGGCCCTTATGATCACGGGCAAAGGCTCTGCTCTGTGACATGGCCTGGCAGCTCCGCCTCCTAGCTTCTCTGTACTGTGACCTCCTAGAGGCCAGGGTCCTGCCCTACTCTCTGTCCCAGCCCTGCACAACAGAGCCACCCCTAACTGCTACCCCCAGCTAGATATCCTGCATTTCTGAGCATCAGGGACAAAGTCCCCGGAGCCTCGGCCCTCCTGACCTACTCACCTTCCAAGAGATGCCACCTCTCAATACTGTCACCTTGGGGTTAAGGTTTCAACATATGAATTTGGTGGCTCGATGGGAAAATCAGGCTGGGGTTGGTACAGCTGAACATTGAAGGGACGGTTTTGCAAAGACGTTGAGATAGAACACCTTTGCTGCTAAAACCCCTGTGCTCTGCCAAGGTGCTGGTGCAGCCCCAAAAGAGAAGTGAAGGGAACCCCACGTGAAAAGCCACCCTGTTCTATTCAAGTGTTAGAGGCTGAGAATGACCTGGGGGAAGGAGCAGGCAGGGCACAGGTGAGACCTTGGCAGAGACTGATGGGCTCTGGGCAGCCCTGTCCCAGCCACAGACTCGGGAGGAGGCAAGGACAGAAGCAAGTTCCTAGGGAGCCCGAGAGCAGCGTCCCAGAGAAGAATGTGCCAGGGAGGGAGTGCTGCTCCCGAGGTCTGGCTGGGAGCACTGGTTTCCTGGAGAGTCCCAGGGACCAAGACCACTGTGGTAGAGCCTGCACATCCCCTGCCCAGTGTTCATCCCACTCCTGCTGGGTACAGAGTTGCTCTTATGCCTGCCCAGAATTGGTCTGAGGACAGTATCTGCACACAATACCAGGTCATACAGGCTAATGACAATCTTTCTGCTGCCTTGGTAGGAGACATCAGGTCTCACAAAACAATATCATGATTCTCTGACCCCGATGCTCCTAGACAGTCATTCAGCTTTGAGCTATCTATTGGCCAAGCAAGGAAGTGTTTGTTCCCTCCAGAGAACCACCTGCTGCACGTGCACCATTAACTCAGCAAGAGTCTGAAAGGTGTTACCCGTGAACAACACAATGGAGAAGGTGGACACTGTCACCCAGGTGCTCTCCAGTGTCCCTCGTCTGCCAAACGGCTTTGATTTGCTTTCACAGTTAGACCCCAGGTCCTGGAGAGGCTGAGTGAGAACCAGATTCCAAATTCTCCTTGTGTGTACATTGGCATTTTAATCCTAGTCCTCTTAACTATATGTTCACTGGTATATGTAGACTGGGCTTTCCAGGTGGTTTTTAATATTCCCTTGGTCCAGATAATTCGGCCTCAGCAAACAGCCCTGGCACCGTGGGGTCCACTGCCTTAGGAGTCCTGGAGGAACCACAGTTTCTTGCTGCCTGGGCTTGGCCAAGGCTGAGCAAGATAGATAAGGGGTCCCTATGTGGAGCCCTTTGTAATCCCAGCTTCACACCAAATTTCTCAACTCCACTTGCTGCCAGAGCTGATTAAAGTACTCAATAGAACTGCACTCCAGCCTGGGACACAGAGTAAGGACTTTTCTCTATTAAAAAAAAAGGAAAAAAAGTATTCAATAGAAATTAACCCACAAAATTAGGAAATCTCATCCCAAATGGCCCTTAAATAGGGAAGTTTCCTGCTTGTGCCTGGTGGCTGTTGCTACAAGAGGCTTGGGACAGAGGACTGCTGTCTGCTCTCTCCAGTCACCCTCCTAGCCTAAGGATCTGTAAGTAACACAAAAATAAGCTTTCACATTGTGATTTGCTTGAAGCCATGCCCATAGTCTGACCCCTGACTATGAGGCCACCCCAGAGGGACCTGGTGTGTGAATCCCCAGCTGGTGCATGTCTGTCTGGGGCTCGGGTGGTACCACCAGTTATGTTAATAGAGAAACTCAAACGAGTTTGGTTCAAAACACATGGGTCCTAATTGACATGTCTAATAAACACTATAATAGCTTCTTAAAACATTCTTTTATTTATATGTATAGTAGATACAACATACCTGGTAGATAAACATATGTATAATAGAAAAGTCTATTCAGGCATTGCTCCGTTTTTAGTCAGATTATTTATTCTTTGCAATTGAGTTGTTTGAGTAACTTATATATTCTGACATTAACCCATCATCCCATGCATCATTTGCAAATAGTTTCTCTTATTTTCTAGGTGTCTTTAACTCAGTTGATTGTTTCCTTTGCTGTGTGTATGCTTTATTGTTTCTTGCAATCATACTTGTCTGTTTTTCCTTTTGTTGCCTGCTCATTTGGTGTCAGATGTAATAAAAAATGCCCAGATCAATGTCAAAATGCTTCATCATATTGTCCTTCTAGATGTTTTATGCTTTCAGGTCTTATGTTTAGGTTTTCAATCCATTGTGAGTTAATCGTTGTATATGGTGTGAGATAAAGGCTCATATGTATGAGATAGCAAATCATACGTTAGTATAATTAGATACATGCAATTCTTAATTATCACTTGTACCTCAATAGAGTTGGGAGTAATAAACATTTTTTTTAGCCTTAGACCAACTCTTTATCTGTATCTCACTGAATTCATTTCACCTAAAGCCTGTTGAGCTCTTTGTCCTCTCTACACTGACCCCAGCAGGAGCCTACTCACCTCATAACCTCAAACACACCTTCACAAGGGGGTAATGTCCTTGAACCCTGCAGTGAATCAGCTCTCTAGTCCACTGGAATTCAAGTCTGTCACCAGGGTCTAGACCTAGACAGTAGGAGGGCCTGTGTTGAAAGTAAGAGGCCATTTGTTCCATGAGTGTATTGAATTAAAACCCTGTTTACTTTCTTTTGTGAATATTGATAAGTAAATACTTAAGCAGGTGGGAAACAGGAAAAAACAGCAGTGTCCTTATTACCACTACCAGCTCGAACATACTACAGACATTATATCACAGATCATACCAGAGTGAGGGCTGGGAGAACAGAGGAGCATCTGAGGGACTTTGAGGGCACAGGCTTTCCTCACCCCATCTAGTGACGTGTGCAGCTTCTCTGACTGAGGGGTCAGAGGAGGCTTGTTGGTCTCTGTGCCTCCTCCTGAAGTCCTGGAAAC